TTTTGAAAAATTAGAATTTCGTTTTGGGAACTTAACTAGACCTACATTTTGAGAAATTAGACCTATGTTTAGTTAAATTAAACATTGAATTTTGTAACTACATTTTGGATTGACATATTTTCCCCTCCACTTACAAAGGTCATTAAGTACATTTTTTTTCAAAATTGAGATATTTGGCTTACGTGACTCCTCAATGTCTAATCTATCACCTCAGTTCATCAAAATTCCAAAAAATGTCTGGAAATATGTAATTTTATTTTAAAATTGAGCATTACTTGAAAATTTCACTACAAAAAGAAAAGGCATTACTGTATGTGCATTGATCGCTTGACTTCACGCATGACAGATAGTAAGTAAAATATCTAATTAACTAGCTTGGAATGCTAAAAAATAATGCCAAGTTAATAATGCTTTATTTCAAGAATACTCTGAGAAAGTGAATTACATGCTTTGTATTTTATTACGTTCAACTATTAATTCTACGATTTTTGTAATACTTTTGTCGGAATGGCGCAAGTTACAGCGCAATTTTTTTTAGAAGTCTTTTGGAAGAGCAAGTACAATATCATTGTACTCAGCATTGTAAATAAAAAAATGTTAAGTAAATGTTAACTATTTTGCTTAGTGCATTGCTTGCATACACAGATGTATAGAAAATGAAATGAAATTGGTACAATGTTTTAATGTCTAATTTATATTGAAAGTTTCTAAGTGCTGTAATGGTAATAAATACTCAATTACACATTAGAAACACTAGATAATGTCTAAATAAAACAAGGAACTAAAAATTGAAAATAGAATTTATTGTAATTAATATTTCAACTTTTCAACTACGGGTTGAAAAGTTGAGACATTTTGAGATAATTGAATGATATGGTTTAAAACAGCTGTTTCAAAAGCAAAATAATTATGGCTGAATGTTTCAGTTTAATTTCTCAAAAAGAAAGTACTGTATACTTCAGAATAACGATACATTAAAAGTGATACATTATCCTAATTCATGGCAACTTCCTGAATATTTGCAAGTTGAATGCACGATAAATCGGCGCTGGTTCATAACGGCTCGCCAGCTATGGTTGTTGCAGGGGCGGCGCTAGCTGGGGGGTCCAAGGGGAAAAGGACCCCCGTAGGGGCCCTCTGGACCCTGCTTGGACCCTCACATTTTGAGATAATTTAATGACATGGCCTAAACAGCTGTTTCGAAAGCAAAGCCATCACACTATTAAGGCTGAATGCTTCAATCTAATTTCTCAAAAAGAAATAATGCTTTAGAATAATGATACATTTAAAATATTATCCGAAAGTAGTACAGTATGTTTTCACTCTTAATTCATGGCAACTTCCTGAATATTTGCAAGTCAAACGACCGATGATTTTTCCGACAGTAACAATGAGTTAGTGGCATCCCAGAACCCTCAAAGGGGGCCCGACCGGGGTAACCCCTGTGGGCAGGAAACCCTGACAATTTAGCGATTCGAAAGGCTTTAAACAAGTCTCACACCCTGTAAAAAGCTTTATTTTCCACAACGATTTTTTTTTGGTTTTTTTCTCCCCGCCAGGAAGATCCCCGGGACTTCAATTTGAGTATAATTTCCAGTTTTCCTCCATTTTTGTACGAATTCTGAAAACTTTAGGAGAAGGGGGCCGGGTCGGTTGCCCTCCCTACCCTTGAATCCGCCATTGAAATCTATACTAACCCTCACTCTGATGTTTAACTCTATTCATTCATTCTTCTAATTAAGTTACATGGTTTTAAATTATTTTTAAAAATTAAGATGATCAACACAATCTTTTCCTTGCCGAGGAGGCGGGGTGGGGGGGGGGGGTGCTAGGCTTCCATGAAGGAGGGGAGCGTGGTGGACCCCCTTGTCAGGGAGCTTGGATTGGACCCCTCGTCAGGATGTTTCTGGCGCCGCCGATGGGTCGTTAAACACGTCTTCTCTGATAAGGACTATAGGCCTATAAACCATATGCCTTAGAGCCCACATGTAGAAATCAACCACAAAGTTAAATATAACAAAGAATGTAGAAACATTGCACCCGAAAAACACATTCAGTTCCTCTAATTCCTAGCTTTTGTTTTCCTTTTGTTAAAAATATGGCAGCGTAAAAAATGTACACAATGATAGCAAGTTGTGTGCAGGTAAAATACGCAGACACCATTCAAATTGTAACTGATATAATTCGGATCTTTCAATTTTAAGGATTTTAATGCTCTATAGGAAATCCTCGCACACAAACAGACACATACATCTAATAATAACTTATCTTATAATGAGTTTTTATATTTGCGGTTGAGATGTTATGACATTAGAGGTAAAATTGGAAATCTTTATATTTGTAGGAGAATTGTTTTTACATTTGTGATTAAAGAGATTTTTACACTAAGTTGTGGGTTAAGTTTTGTTACATTTGTGGTTATTTTTACATATTTACACAATGTTGTTGACATGTTATGACATTTGGGATTATTATGACATTTGTGGGTACAATATTTTTACATATGTGGTTGTTTTTACATTTGTGGTAGATTTTTACATTTGCGGGCTCCACATTCCCCACCCCACTCGATTATGGTGATTAATCCATAAATGTATTTTGCATTGGGAATTATTGAAAATTTTATTTCATTTATAAATCAATTGAAATCAAAGAATACGTCCTCATTGAATGACTGACATGCTAAAATCCCTACTAAAGGGTAAATTTAACTTCACCTCACTAAAGAGGAAACCATTTTGGTCCCGAAGGTGTCCCCCTATAATAGGGCTACTACTGTAATTTCATTTATATTGTCAACATGGGTGTGTTCTAGCTGGGAATGCACTTTCCTACATTCTCGGGAGTGAGAATGCAGGAATAATTTAGTGAGTGATGAAAGGACTCATGACATCAAAAAGTCCATCATATAATTGGAAAGAGCTCTTTTTTGAAAGGTAGAGTGGATGGGGGAAATCTTGAGTCTACATATTTCTGAACAGCCAGTGGTGGCACAAGCGGGGGAAGGGGGAAGGTAGGAAGAGCTCCCTATGTCAGGGAGAAAATCTACACTTAATCGGGGAGAAAAAATTACAGTATATAGGCCTATGTATTTTCTACACATTAGTACAAATAAGCCTTTGAAACCCCTAAATTTCATATTTTTTGGAGGGGCTTCGCTCTCTGGTCCTCTTTCGAAAGAGTAAGGCCGTCCATACTCACTATGCTCTCGTCGGGGACATCGAACCCCGTCGGGCAGATCTTGTGGCCAACCCTGTGAGCACCACCATGGTGAGGTGTGAAAATTTGAAGAATTAGTTCCTCTATATGGCCTGAAATAACTCTTATATATGTAGTAAAATTCCTCATCATCAGATAACCATCATGGTCAAGATAAAGCTTCAACAAATTCCTCAAGATGTTTTTTTATCAGAAACTTTTAATAACACTTATTTCATGGCATAACATCATATTCGCTGTTCCCATTTATACGGTTTATTTCAACAATTTTCAGGCACATACTTGACAGAGGTAGTCGAGGTTCAGGAAAAACAAAAAAAATTTGATGTGGTAGAGAAATTTTGAGGGGATCAGGGCCCTCCACCGGAAAGCTTTTATTTTACAGATGCTGAAATGCGCTTTTTCTGCCTTTGGTCAATGTGATGGGGGTAGGTCTAATAGTAAATATTCACAAAAGTAAGGATTTTTGGATGAAATTATTAAGGGACGCAGTACACTTTTCAAAAACGAGTAGGGTATTGGCGGTGGCGTACTGTCCATGCCCGATAACCACCACATTGCCGCTCTCGGGATAAGTCTTCGGACCGAATGAATTAAATCTACTCCCATCTTTTATGTAGATACTATACTGTAGTTTAAGTCCTATATTTGGAGCACCTTCATAATTGCTGGGAAAATAATTTTACAGACAACAAAACATGAAATTCAATACAATTATGAGATGATAATTAATATCAAATTAACACTTGAGGCCTGTCAAACTACCGTATTATTTCTGAATATTGTTCCTAAGTGCTTATAGGCCTACCGATAACGATGGCGATGATGACAATGTCAGTGATGACAATGTCAGTGATGACAATGTCAGTGATGACAATGTCAGTGATGACAATGTCAGTGATGACAATGTCAGTGATATTGATGTTTATGTTAGTGTTGATGATGATGAATAATAAAATGGTGTACTATAACTTAGTGGTTAATATGTATGCATTCTAATCCCGGGGTCCTGTGTTAATTTCCAGTGACAGCAGGACTTTCTTTACAACTAAAATGAAGATCCCTCTAAGTCTCGTTAAGAGACTTGGTTTATAAGTCTTCCCTGTAATGGCGATGGCGATGTCGACAAAGACGATGAAGATGAAGACTATAATTATGGTCATGATATTGATGCTGGTAATGATAATAATGGTTATGATAATAATATTAACATTAATACTAATATTATTAATTGTTAATATTATCAATTATGGAGTCTAATTGCGCTTACACACTTTTATCATTTATCAAATAACAATGTCTAATGATAACAACGGCAAAATGAAAGCAAGCTTTTCAATTGTAAAATTAAAGATAAACACATAAAAAATTGGCTTTAGCAATTTACATGTTAATTACTCATAATAATAGCGTGACTACAATAATAAAACAATAAGCGAAACAAGGAAGAACTGTATTCCAAATATTTATGCTGAAACAGATTTTACATTCAATCGTTTACTGGGGACCATACAGTGTTCATGGTACTACCTTGTTTAAACTGATATTTGTTAGCACTTTTTTCAAATGTATTATATTGTTTGTGAATCCCAAAAATTTCGACGTGGTTCTAAGGACTAGTTTATATTACACTACTACAACGGATTGAGCAACGAAATTATTATTTCTAACCTATTGCCATGATTCACCTGCCAATATCTGTGTGTTTAAAACTATGTTAAGAAATACTTCAGTCCATGTTTTTACACTGAACTTAACATTTGATGGATTTGGTTTTTCGATTTGACGCAAAAAGATCGGAATGAATTAATTGGTAATAAGATCAAAATAAAATCATATTTAATGTGATGTATTTTGTGTCATACTGTAAAATTGGAAAAAGATAGTAGATTTTTCCATTGGCATTTAACATTTCGTACTTAAATATTACGTTATTATGACAAGTTTTGCAAAGGTTATGTTATATGCTGTACTAGTATTGATAGTGGCACCCGGCTGCATGTCAGGAAAGTGTCGGTCGTACAACCCGTTCAGGATAAACGGCACACAGACACCGAATACTACGATATGCCCAAAACAATGTCATTGTTACTATTGTCAGCATTCTAACAGCCAAAAAGGACCAATCACAACACAATGGAACGTTAAAAATGTTATTTGTAGACAGAAAGCATTTAATCGCATCCCAGAAGATATACCAGTTGATGTTCAGCAGTTAGACCTTTATAAAAATTCCATCAGCAAACTGTCGTCTAGTGAAATGATCAACTTTAAAGAACTAAAATTTTTAGATTTGTCTTTTAATGATCTACAGGATAGTAATATAGGGGACCATTTTTTTGATTGTCTCACTAAATTGATCAAGCTGAACTTGGATAACAATCATGCAATTACTCACATACCAATCGTTTGGTTTCAGAAATTAGTGGCGTTGGAAAGGCTATACATTAGATATTCAGCCGTCAAAACTCTACAACGTGGAGTATTCAAACATTGCGGTAATTTAACTGGAATATATTTGACGGGAAACAAGTTAGTGTCTCTGCCTCCTGATTTATTCCGAAACCAACCTGTTCTAATAAGTGTTGATGTTTCACATAACAGTATAAATGCTATACAGGATGAAGTATTTCGTGGTTCACCAGAGATAAATTATTTCTTTCTACATGATAATAAAGTAACAACAATAAGTCGAAATATGGGTCTACAGAATTTGACCAAGTTAATTAAGATCGGAGTTGGGGAAAACCCGTTTGTCTGTGATTGTAACCTAGTATGGTTTCGTCACTGGATAAACCAAACCGATGCAACATTGATAGAACTCGATAAAGCTAAGTGTAGAAACACGAATGGTACAAGTCTAGTTAACTTTGATGCAGATTCGTTGATATGCATTGAACATGACTTTACAAAACCTGTCCTCATTGCCACATTTTGCTCAGCAGCTTGCTTAACCGTTCTTGGTACATTACTTTATGTTTTCCGGTGGGATATCAGGTATACTTACTATATTATAAAGTATATGAAACTATGGTGATGCTTGTCAAATTCATTACCATTCAATAATGTATACTAATGCCCAAATGGTTTCTATTGACTTGTCACTCAATCACTGTGATTTTTGGAAATTCTTTAAATTCAAGTAAAATAATTGCTCACAAACAAATCATATTTGAATATGCCACATGCGTAGTTTGATCGACTTCAGAGAGACCTGCTCGTTGGTCGTCTGTGGCTTGGGACAAATTTTCTGACGTTCGAAACAGGTCTGGCTTTTTGGGCATAGTGGATCATAGCGTGTGTGTCGATGGGTGTGTGTGGGTGTTAATGTGTATGTGTTTTATATTTGAGAAGTTGTACAATTTTCATTGCATAATTATTTTTCGTCCAAAACAAAGGGTGGTGCACACAATTTTAAAGGGTGGATACATTTTTGGTACCTTACTACTTATGGTGTCGGATACGACGCGGTATGGCCCGTGTTTCACAATTTAAATTTCATTTACTCCGTACATTTAATTTAATTTATTAATGCAAACAATATAATGTATATACAAAGATGCGTACGCTAAGTGTTGATGTGGATAAAGATCGAGCAGGTCGAGTGTGTGTAGTCAGGAGCTATAATGTTAGATGTTATAATTTTGTAATCATTGTCGAGTGCATGTTTGCTGTTGTGTTAAATAATAATTATAATAATTTAAAGTGGTAATTATTAGTTGTGTAAAATAGTTTTTAAAATAATCGGAGCCAACATAGTACTGTTGTATTCCGACTACAGTCTATCACGTATGTACGGTAATTCGCAGGAACAGGTGCTCTTCTAAAAAATCACTCCAATATGTTTTAGGAGAGAACATAGGGCCATGATCCAGTGAACAATCCGGGTAATGATGCAATGGACAAAGCAACGAGTCAGTGGGGATACCATTTTCTTTTCTCACTTCCTCGTCCTTAAATCATAAATGATATTTTTTGTGTTCATATGGTCAAAACGTTCCCAAGAAATGATGAAAGAAATTGTTTGGCAATAATGGGCACACAGAAGTGGCCGGATGGGCAGTGCTACTATAAAATGTAACACCGCGCATAATATATAACACCAAAAATCGGAACAAGGGTGTTATAATGCAAGGTTGGCGACCAAAAAACCGCCTTCGTGACACATAACTAACTATGGGGAGTGTGGGTGGGTAAGCTTTTATTTATTTTTTTTAAAGAACATTATTACCTGAAACAAAGATTGTGGAAGAATGCGATGCGTTTTACTAAAATCAGACGCCGCTAACTACCAATTCGAACAAATGAATGCACACTCGCATCATAAAAGCGCACCACTCGCGTTCACTGAGCTCGACTGAATAGAACCTACTGGTCCCAAAAAATAAGTTTGTAAAACGAACTTCAATTTTTACCATAATCCGACGATTGTTTTCGGGAAAACTGACCCAACAACTTAGCCTGCCACGGGCGTAATTATCGTATTTAACTATCAAAAGCTAAGATCGGGATGCTAAAATGCTTCAATATGACCACTCCAAAATAATGATCGTAACCTTGAGGGTACAGTGAAATTAGTCAATGTTACGTGCTGGCCTAAATATAAAGTCAGACTAGCCTGTACCGATTATCTTTTGGTTATGCTCGCGCACGGCTGGTTACTCACAATTTTCAAGACGGTACTACTTAGGCCTACGGGTTCTCCCTAGAGTTTAATGCCATGTTCTCCGAATCAGACGTGTATATTTCGTTGACTATTAAAAATTAGATAAAAATAAAATAGCTAATCATAATAAATGCAAAATACGCTTTACTTTTGAAGTATTAGTTATGATCGTCGAACTATGGTGTCTTCGTTAAATACAGCTACTTTATACTCGCGTATAAGACGAGGTTTAATATAGCAAATTAGAATCGAAAAAAAGGGGTCGCCCTATACGTACGACATGCACATTTTAGATTGCATTATATATATTTATTTACTGTTGAACTGAAGCTACTTAAGTTTAAATTAACGCAATTTTAAATACGGAGAAATAAGACGTTGATGTTTAAAACTCATAAATGGTACGTATTTTGTAGGAAGATTAGTCTTGCATTTGGCTCCGTTTATAGGCAGATGCAATATCAAGACCATAAAAAGCATAAAAATTGGGAATTCCGACGATGAAGAAGGGGGTCGTATACGCCCGACATACAAAAATCGTTTAAACATCTTCTCAAACTCGGGGGTCGTCTTACCCGAGTATATACGGTATCCTGATGTCAAGCGTGGCGCGCAACCATAATTGAGTATTGCTTGAAGATAACACCACGTGGATAAATAAGTAAGGCCTATTTAGAACCACCATTTTTTCAATCGGGGTAAAATTTCTTCTATAACGATTAACCGTTATTTGTCAGTCAGTAAAATTTTAACTGGGAAGGCAATGGTTTGCATTAACATTTTTTTTTAAATACCCAACCGAAATTCAGTATAAAAACATGTTTCATAAGAAATTAACGTAATTTCAATTAATAAATGTTGTTTTATTAATCACCGTTCATAAAAAACGGACACTTCTCTGAATATCGCAATCGTCACGCATGTATGGTACTGAACGAGCCCTATCCACTAGCCGACCAGGGACCTTACTGAGTTCACTTCACAGGTACCTACTTGTACGCGCATGAGATCCTGCAGTTGGGCTTGCATTGAAGGTAGTGCCTCACGATGATATCCGATTGAACATGTACTCTTCCCCATGGGAACATTGTGGAACTGCCTGTAGTTCGACACTTCTGTATTTATTGTTGTAACATTCTGAATAAAATATAATTAGTGCATAATTTTTTAGCGTGGCGCTAACATTGTAAGCGTGGTACAATCTTTGCTTATTTTTCCCAAGCGGGGCGGTTATTTCGTCGAGGTCCCGCCACGCTTAAGTATAGCTGACAAGACCCCTGATATATATGTATATATACATACATATATATATATATATATATATATATATATATATATATATATATATATGTGTGTGTGTGTGTGTGTGTGTTTGTGTGTGTGTGTGTGTGTGTTTATATATTTATCTATTGGCTTTAAAAGAGATACAGACCAAAACAATTCTACATTCGCTGATTGATATAATTATAATATACAGTAACATTCCCAATTAATTAATTTAGAAAACTGTACTGGAACAGTATTGTTTACAGTGAGTATACAGGAATTCGAAATGAAGGAGGCCCAGGAAGGGACTTTCAAAGATAGAGGGTCTACACCCCTGCTTCTCAACCTACGGGTCGTGACACAAATATGGGTTGCCAAAAATTTGTGAAAAAAATAAAGCGCATCTCGAAACATAGTGGAAAATACTTCTGCATAGCGGCCAGTCATACGAACTATTCAACCTAAAAGATACACCCAGGTATAGTAGCTACGAAAACGAAAGCTAGAAATTATGGTCAATCCAAAACGTAAAATCAACTCTCATTTGTTTTTCTTTTTTGGCAAAGCCACATTTATTCACAACGTTATTTAAAAACATAAACATTCACATAAATAGGCCTACCAATGTATAAACATAAAAAAGAATATATTTCAGTTTCGGTACTTATTTTCACTTCCTTCTTAATTTTTAACAAATAATTTATTTTCACTTAAAATTCTTAAATTATTTTTTTCAATTCACATCCTTACACTTCCTGAAATAACTTAATTTTGTTTCAGGCAGAGTCGTATTTACGTCTGTTGTATCTATTTCACGTATAGCAGCATTATAGGCATAGCATATTTTATGTTTATCAACTCTCATGGTTGCACGGTCGCCAATCTCTCCTAGGAAGATAATGAAGACATACCAGAAAAGTGTAATAGGAACAAGCCGCCACCCTCTCACCTAATTTGTTTTTAATTATAAAACATGGAGAAAAAAGAAAATTATATTAAAATTGAATTGAAGCCTCCGGCCATCTAGAGGTGCTGTAATCATAAATTTTCTTACCTCAGCCCCAACCATGGTGGGGCTCAGGTGGTAGTAACACCCTATCTGTGAAAGTCCTTCCCGGGACCATCTCTATTTCGAATCACCGGATCAGTTATGGATCGCCACACAATGTGGATTCTGAAAGTGGGTCTGCATCTAAAAAAGGTTGAGAAGCAGAGGTCTACACTACTTCAGCCCCACCATGGTGCTAAGGTAAAAATAGGCATGATTATGATACCTCTAGATGGCCAGAAATGGCACTTTCAGACTTAAATTGAAATATAATTCTCTGCCCCCACCCTATCTTGAATCCTCCACTGACTCTATTGCAACTTTTTATTACAATATATACGGCTAGAAACAAATAGTTGCATATAATACGGTATAGATCAAGATAGCCGTTAACACTGTTAAATTATATATAACCGTATCTATTGTGTAATGGAGTGTTATCTGGTGGTATTTGAATCTGTTCAACCATGACGCCTCCGTGGTCTAATGGTTATGACGCTCGCTTTGACAGCAAGAGGTCGCAGGTTCGATTCCCGCTAGAGGCCTTTTTATTACACAATTTCTTTATTCATTTATTTACAGGACTACATTCGTTGAGAGCTATGCTACACGATGTATTATTATGTCCTTTATTCGAACACTGTATTTACCTTTCTTTGATGATTTATATATATATATATATAGGCCTAACGAACATTAAAAATTCCCTTTTTGAGTTGAGCAACCAAATGTTGATTGACGTCTGTATACCCGCGTCTGTAAAGTTTTCTTACCCTCTAGCATGAAGTAAAAAAATTGAATATATCGCCTGCCTTGTGTGAATTCTGTATTTAGGCATAGGGTGGAGGTAGGCACTCTTTATGGAGCGACGCTCTAGTTTTCTTTATGCTAATCATAAAGATGTAAGTGTAGCTGATTGGTTTACATTAAACCTCTAAACTAGCATAATATAACCACATCTCCATCTAATTTAACGAAAACAATAAGATACTTAATTAGGCAATTAAAAAAAAAAAGTTTTCTTAAAGTATACCGAATTTACAACACACTGTAGTAAATGTGTTCTAGGTTGTAAAAACTGTATTAAATTAACAAAAAAAATCTATCGAATAAAAAAATCTTTAGCTTGACATTAGGAATTAGTCATTTGTGAAACAAAATGATAGGCTATGTCAAGTGTTATATTAAACAGTGGTGGATTCAAGGGGGAGCCCAGTCAGCACGCCCCCACCCCCACCCCCTAATTTTTTTAAATAAAAAAAAATGGAGAAAACAAGACAAAATTGTATTCAACTTTTAATCTATGAGTGCCATTTCCGGCCATCTAGAGGTGCCATAATCATATTTTTTTTTCTTACCTCAGCCCCATCCGTTGTGGGGCTGAGGTGGGTAGGCATTCCATTGGCGCCAAACTCTCCCTGGGTCCCCTCTATTTCGACTTCCTGGACCAGCCACAGTTGGAGTATCATTTCCTGACTTCTATAGAAGGGTAATTTTTATCCATCGGGGGATAAGTGAAGGTTTCGCCAGGGAATACCCATATAAAGGATACCCCTCATGACAAATAATTCATTGAGATCGTGGAAGCAATCTCGACTTCAACTTTGTTCGGAAATCAGTGGCCGATT